AAAAAAAAAAAAAAAAATCAGGTTGGAGCAGAACTAATAGGCACCTTGATACTGGTGTTTGCTGGGACAGCCACAGCCATTGTGAACCAAAAGACAAACGGCTCGGAGACCCTAATTGGGCTGGCGGCATCGACTGGCCTGGCCGTGATGATAGTCATACTCTCCACGGGACACATATCCGGGGCCCACCTCAATCCAGCTGTCACCATTGCATTTGCTGCTCTCAAGCATTTCCCATGGAAGCATGTAATTGCTAAATTTCTATATTTTTGAATTATTATTAAGAAAAAACTCAATTTATAGTAATATTTATGTATGGAATTCAAATTTTGAACCTCTTTTATATTTATTTTTTTTATAGGTTCCTGTGTACATAGGTGCACAAGTGATGGCATCAATATGTGCCTCATTTATGCTCAAGGCCATTTTCCACCCTGTAATGGGTGGGGGAGTGACTGTGCCTCAAGGTGGATATGCTCAGGCTTTTGCTCTCGAGTTTATAATAACTTTCAACCTCATGTTTGTTGTAACTGCAGTTGCCACTGATAATAGAGCTGTAAGTACATACCTTTTTGACTCTTATAGTCTTATTTTTTTTATTTCGATCATATATTCAAAACATGTAATGTTACAAGATGTATTAAAAAATTAGCATGACAAAATAAATATTGTTGAAACAAAATTTCTATAGAGCAATCGGATTGTTTTCTTATAGAGTCATCCACTACTTAACATACTGACACCCGTCCAAAGTGTATTTTATGTGGGATCCGTGTCAATACACTATTGATGAATAAGTGTGGGTGACTCCGTAAGTCGAGTCATCCGATGACTCCATAGCAAAAGCAAAACTGTATTGTTGAATTTCTTTTGCAAAGTAAAAGAAGTTACATGACAAACAACTTCAAGGGACATTAATTGCAAGGATAAACAATTAAGTACAAAGTGACAAGATATGTCAGTACCAATAGTCAAATGCCACCTGGCTCGTCTGACAGTAATAATATTTATTACCCAATTGGGGATCCAACACAGATAGACAGACACCGTCCATAATAATAAAATTGTTCTTGCTTTTGATTGGCCATTCTGAGTTTTGTTATAAAAACAAGGAAAATGGATATCTCAGATCCCATGCACTTCAATACATATGAAAATGAAAAACTTGTCTTAGTCCAATGCAAAGTCCATTAATTTTTTTTCAGTATTTTAATGTGGGGCTAATAAAACTTTAATGATTTTGTTGTATTAATGTAATTTTTTGGGACAAAAACCAGGTGGGAGAGCTTGCTGGAATTGCCGTTGGAGCCACAGTCATGCTCAATATACTGATAGCCGGGTTTGTAACTCATTTTCTTCTTGTTTTTCCCCCCTTTTTAGATTAAAGGCAAATTAATTTGTAGGAGAATGCTATCAGCCCGTTACGGGACAGTTCAAAGCGTAGATTATCTACACATTATTAGATTACATTTATATCTACGGCTACAAAAGACAATGGAACCATACCGTAACGAGAGCATTCTCCTTATTTATAATATATGTCCAATCATTTACTATAGAAAAATTTGTCCGATAATTTTTGCAATTCTAGAAAATACTTTTTCGCTAATAAAAATCACGCAAAACATGTCAAAAAAAGGCAAATATGCTACCCCTGACTAATTGCCAAAAAAAAAAGAAAAAAAAAACACAACACTCACTAATTCAAATATTTGGTTAAAGTGTTTGGGATTAGAATTTTTTTTTTTTTTTGCAAAAAACATAGAGCAACTAAGTTCTGTTAAGTGCAGTTTATACATATAAATATATCTATCTACATAGATATATAGAAAATTTTCTATAAATAGAAATGCTAATTATGAACAAGCACAATTCTCAATAATTCTGCAATGCAGGCCAACAACAGGGGCATCAATGAATCCAGTAAGAACACTGGGCCCAGCAATTGCGGCTAACAACTACAAGGCCATTTGGGTGTACCTCACAGCACCCATTCTAGGTGCTCTTGCTGGTGCAGGTGTTTACTCAGCTGTCAAATTGCCTGATGATGACCACAACGGGCACGAGAAGCCTTTAGCAGAACATAGCTTCAGAAGGTGATTCCATTTACAGGTATGCAACATGAGCTCAGATCCTTCTTTGAGGCGGAAAAAGCTCGACAAGATTTGCATCCTGCAATAAGAATGTACGAACAAATGATAGCTTTTACTTTACCTGTCAATGTAAAGAACAACTTTGGCCAAGAATTCTCATTCTATGTGCATTAACCACATTTCCATTCCTCTCTGAATTCCTTCCTTATTGAACTTTTCAACTGCACGCGTCATGACTGAGCACGAGAACAATATTGGCCTAAAATCAATTTAGAGTCTCCGTACTAGATTTCATAAAGAGATTGAATGGTCAATCACCTTTGTCTTTCAAGGCGTGCTCCCTTTTGCCGTCGTAAGCGCCTCAATCTAGTATACCCCGGAAGACCAAGAAATTCGCCGGAGATTCCACGCCTTCCCAAACGCATGGTCACCTTCAAATTTTTCAACCTCCAATGTTCTCTAATGTTTTTAGCTTCCAATGTGAGGTGACCATGTGCCTGGGCAGGCGTGGGATCTCCTGGGCGAGTGCATGGACTTTCGGGGTATACTAGATTGAGACGCCTACGACGGCGAAAGGGAACACGCCTTGAAAGACAACAGGAGGATCAGGACCCTTTTTCTCAACATTCTTCAACCTTCGATTTTCCTAAACAAGCCGGACAATGAAGAGACTGTTTTACGGCAGGTTAAGGAAAATCGAGAGCTGAAGAATTTTTTGAGAAAATGGTCCTATCTCAGTTGTACAAAGGTGATTGACCATTCCTCTTTGAATCCTTCCATTCATTTGATACAAGGTTTTGATTTCGCTTGCTAATTCATCTTGCTGAGCAACTCATTTATATGATCCACACGATTCCCCGAATCCCCTCCATCTTCAAACCGTTTCTTCTTACAGTGCAAGGCTTTCTTCAGGATTGTTCAGCATGAAGGGGCATAAAAAAATTGTCACCAACTTAAAATGTTTGCCAACAGTGGCAACCTCATTTACAATGTCTTCTATGCATATTATGTCATGCTGGCCTAGTTTCTGCCAAGTAGAACATAAAAAACGTGTGGGAATTTTTAGAGAACAGTTTAAATGGGGAACATGCAAAGCACAATCATCAAGGTAAACAAGGACAAACCTGCTCAACAATGTTATTGTCAGTTAAAGGAGCCCTCTTCTTACAAGAACCGAAAAAATATGGTACAGACAAAAAATGATGATAAACTAATCTGATATTGCGGAAAAAGAGAATTGGTGGTATACCAAATCATGAGAAAATGATTAAGTGGAAATGGTAGCATTTTAAACATTCTCAAAATGATTAAGGTAAAAACAAGAGCAGAAAACAACTGTAAGGCAGCAAGGCAACTGGAACACTCAAATCGTGAGTAATGGAAGTATAAAAAAATTATGCACTAGAATAGAACAGATAAGAGGTATAAGGTAAGCTAAATAATACAAGCTGATGATGGCACAAAAACTCTTATTGATGGTAGAAGTTTTTGGCCAATACATATCAAGCCAGATTAGCCTAATTCTGGTAACACTTAGTATTTTCCAATAAAATAAGAAAAAAGACAAGTTTATTTAGCTTACAAGTGATAAAGTTATCAGCTTTCGCAACTCTTTGGACACTGATTCCTAAACATTATGCTTAAAAATGGCAAGTCTAAATAGATATTTATGGACACAACTACAATACTCATAAGCACAAACAGAGTCATAGTTCAGGTGGCATTTCATTGAGCCCCAAACAGATCAAGATTCTACAGTTGTACTATAGCAGCAACAGGCAGCAAAGGTGATGGAAATAGTATGACATACCCATAGGTCACATAAGGCTCCACTCTTTGCAAGATTTCCATGATTCGCTCGTTTGCCTTCACAAATACCCCACTGAATACTTTTCTCAATCTCAAAGAGTACAGAATCTTTCTTGTTCTTGGATGCATATCGTTTTTGCTGCAAATAAAGACAGACTTTACATCACAAGACCATCAAATCGCAATATTCAGCAGCAGATTAATATGTGAAATTTCAACTGACCCCCCAATGCGTATGACGAATAGAAGCTTAGATTATGCGTATGACGAATAGAAGCTTAGATTGTGCCGCGGCCGAGGCCCATCTTTTTCGGGCAACCCTACTCTTCATCTGCACGAAGTCCAATTCCTGAATGCGAAAACAGCGCATAAAGCATCAACACTCACTCAATACCACCAAATTCGAGATAACCCACCAAACAAAACTATAGACGTACACCTAACCGAAAATGCAAGCCCAGTAAAATTAACAGTATGAAGCTCGTCAAAAGTTTCAGAACCTTACGCTAGGAAAACATAAGAGACGATTACTAGTACACTCTCTTACCTGGTCTCGATACTCGCGAATAAACTGCTCGGGCTTCTTGATGAAAGAGCTGTCGGGCCTGTGGCGTTTGGCCCGTTCCTGTACCTGCAGCTTTCTCTTGATTGCCCATTCCTCGTTGTTTTTCCTTTTCTTCAGCACCACCTCCGGTATGTACCTTAGAAACGGCGGCGCCTCGTCACCCTGAGGGGCCATGGTTTACGATTGGACTTTGTTGGCCAGCAAATTGGGTAGTAAGAATAGGGTTTTGGAGGGTTTTGCTTCAAACTACTCAAACTATTTGGGCTATTTAGGCAACTTATTTGGGCCTCAGTAAAATAAGCTCAGCCCATATCCCAAAATCAGTATTTGCTATATGTGGTTCCAATGATCAGGTACTTTTTCGAGTATTTTGCACCAAATTCCCTCTATTAAATGTGTGTGTTATTATTCTGTATCTTAAAAAAATTGAGTCATATTCCTTTGTATTTTTAATTTAATGTTTTTACATTCGCCTTTTTTTTTGTTAAATTTATGAAAACATTGTAAAATATAGGTACAAAATGAATTTATAAATCAATTGTAAAAAACTTATCAATATAACTGCCACAATAATATAATAGAACTGATATCCCAAAATTAATAGCAAATCCTTACGATTTTCTATTCATTCTGTACCGAGACATATATACCAAAATATCTATTCAAGGAATTCAAAAATATCATTTGGTTTTATCAATAAATGCACCAAACTAATTTTTTAAAAATTCATATTGCGATTCACAATATCATAATAAATCAATATAATTAATAGATCAGAAAGAAAACTAAAAATATTTATAATATCACGAATTATAAAAAAATAAAATAATATTGATGTAACTAAAAATTAATAATTGCTTTTAACTTCAAAATAATATGTATTACAATCTTTTAACTTCAAAATAATAAATATTATTGTTTAACTTTAAAATAATATACAATTGTCACTTTCCAAAATTTTTCAACTTTAGCATAATTTATTGAAAATTTGAAATAATATATTTTAACAAAGTATGAGTGAGACAAGATAGAGAAAGATAAGTATTATTTAAGTATTATTTATTTACAATATTTGTATATGCTAATTTTTTATTATCCTTAGTTATAAACAAAATTTAAAATGACAACTATTCTATAAGGAGTGAAATAACCATATAATCATATATTAAAATAATATATATCATAAAATAAAAGAAAAATAATTATTGATATTTAAAGCTATTTTTAAACAAAACAATATTCATGCATTACTTTAATACAAATAAAATTTATAATTATTGCCTCGTGTGAAATATTCTTTCAGTGTTTTAATTCAAATAATTTATAATTATTGTTCCGTGCATCACACGGATGTTTATTGTGTTTTTGTCGTTATTTTTGTGTGTTTTGTGTGTTTTATTTTATTAGTTTTAGGTTCGTTTTAGTGTCGACGGTTTATTTTATCGTGTTTTGTGTATTTTTGTTATTCTATAGTGTTTTCGTATTTTTGCGTGTTTTCTCTTTTGTTTTGGTGTTGAATAGGTCCAATGTGTCGAGAACGAGGAGACGAGCTGTCCGAGCCGACCGAGCCGTCCAACCCGGAAAATCCGACCAAGCCATACTGGGACGAAGAGAATTCAATGATGAGAATTTTGGTCCAAATTTGATGCAAATTGGAGTTGTGTGGGAGAAGTTAGGGCGAATCGAAGATCAACGGGCCATGACCGCAGCACACCCGCGAGCTCGCGGAAATCATGGCGAGCTCGAGAGTGTTGGTGCCCAAGCGCCCAGCGCACGCCGCGAGCTCGCGGAAAGCATGGCGAGCTCGAGAGTGTTGTTGCCCAAGTGCCCAGCACATGCCGCGTGCTCGTGGAAAGCACGGCGACCTCGA